CTCTCATATTTCTGTAATCTTTGAATGGTGCATATTGTAATTTCTGAATGCTTTATAAAAACAAGAAACAAAATAGTTGACAATGTTTTAAAAACTCACAGAAAAGTCCAAGCCCATTGCCCTTGTTTTTAAGGTCTCTCAACATCAAGTACTAACTAACTACCTGGTCTGATTCCAGCTAGTTCCTGTGGCTCAGGAGAATATGTCCAAGAGATTATAGCTCTGAACGTGGACTTCCTAAATTCCAACCCCAGCTCAGCCTCTTATTAGGTGGGTGACTATGGGGGGAAACTGATGCTCCTCGGGACTGATCTCATTTTTATAGAATAGGAAAAGGGCAGTACTTTTCACAGAGCCACGATGTGGCATCATGTATTTATTCGTATAAAACCCTTATCACCGCCGAAGACGGTTTGGCTCAGTGGATAGAGCGTCGGCCTGCGGACTGATGGGTCCCCGGTTCGATTCCGGTCAAGGGCATGTGCCTGGGTTCCGGGCACATCCCCAGTGGGGAGTGTGCGGGAGGCGGCTGATCGATGTTTCTCTCCCATTGATGTTTCTGGCTCTCTATCTCTCTCTCCCTTCCTCTCTGTAAGAAATCAATACAATATATTTAAAAAAAAAAAAACCCTTATCACCAAAGTTGGCAGTTAAGGATTCATTATCATCAATACCCATGCCCGAGTTCACATCCTACACTTTTTCCGATTTATGTGAACATCACTGTAAAATGAAAACCTCAAGTCCCACTCACGTGGAGCTTTGCTATCAGCAGCCAAGCAGTCACCCCCTCTCGCTCGGTGCGGTCCTTTCTGAGAAGTCAGGCCGGGGGAAGAAGAATACTATGAATGAATGCCACGATCGTGCCGAAGCCCTCGAGGAAAGTCAAAGCCTCTTCTCCCTCCGTGCAATCTGGAAGCAACCTTTACATTCCTAAAAAAAAAAAAAAAAAAAAGAGGTCTGCAGTGGTCCGTCCGGTATTCCAACAGCGTCTGTCAGCGATCAGAGAAGAGGCAGGGTCAGTGCAGCTGGGGATCTGACCCTAACCCGGAGGAAATTAAAACTAAGGAGAGATCACCATTCACAACGTGCCAAGAACTAAATTAATACTTCTATTTCTACCCCTTCCTTCAATTCCCAAAACAGTTCTGTTAGCAAGGTCCTGTTATCCTTCCTCACTTTAAAGAACAGTCCCGGGAGGCCCGATGCCAGGAGGCAGCCCGCGCACGGATTGGGGGGGGGGGGGGGGGGGCGGGCGAGAGGGCAGCCCGGGAACTCACACCAGGAGACAAAGGCGACTCCAGCCCGTCCCACTCCCGACGCTACAAGCGCCCCAGACGCGTAGCTCGGAGGCGCCGCCGCCCCCGCACTTCCATACTGCACCCTCCGCAGAGGCTTCTTTTCCCCTAAATCGACCGCTGAGTCACGGCGGGTCTTACGCATAGATCCAGAAAGTTCGGAACCACCCCACGGAAAATACAGTAAAAACCTTACACTCCCTGAACCGAAGTGCCTGCGACCTCACGAGGCTTCGGGACTATATTTCCCAGAATTCACCAGACCCGCCTTCCTGAGCGGAAGTGCACGCGACGGCACAGGACGCCTGGACTACACTTCCCAGAATCCCGAAGGAAAACGTTTACGTACAGGCTCACGCTGTAGGAGAAAGTGTTGAGACTACAGGAAACTCCTTGACTACACTTCCCAAAATGCCAGAGCGGAGAGACTCCCAGAATCCCAACTTCCTGGTTACGTGGACTCTTTCACTGAGAGTCTGTGGACGTTCCCTAAATCTTCCAGAAGAAATATCACATAGACACAGGACTTCCTGAAGTCGCAATGAGTCCAATTATGACAGGAATAGTGTAGAGATACAATCTTCAAGAAATCAAGGGAGTTTGGGAGCGCGGCCGCTCGGTTGAAAGGAGCGACTTCCTGGGCGCGAGACCCAGCAGCCGGCGTCTGAGGAGGCGCGCGACCCAACGTCCCTGTTGCCATGACAACCCTGCGCTTCGCGGACCTGCACCGGGGCAGCGAGGACGAGCTGCCACTAGGCTCAGAGCAGAGAACCACCAAAGACGGCTGGGTTTATGATGTCGGGTCACACTGAGAAGACTCAATGGGAACATCCGAAAAACGGAAAAAGAAAACAAATAGCAGATTTGTCTTATAGATGGGAACAAGAAACCCATGAGGAAGGACACTGTATTTGGTCAACCATATACTAGTAAATAAAATAACTGTTTGGACCCAAGACTGGCACTTACTATGGATGATAATCCTACAAAGCCAATCACCAGGCAGAATACGACGGTAGCACCCAGGGGGGATTTCACCAACAAAGTGGTTGTAGTTCCTGGAGCTAATTCAGGAATAGGGTATGAAATCGCCACATCTTTTGCCCTTCAAGGTGCTCACGTGATCTTGGCCTGTAGGACTAGGACAAGAGCCAGTGAAGCCATGTCCTGCATTTTGGGAGAATGGCATAAAGCCCCGGTACCCGCGGTCACCCTGGACCTACCTGCTTGGTAGTGTGCACAGGTGTTCAAGGCCAACCATGTGCTTCTGCATGTGCTTGTGTGCAACGCAGTGGCTCTTGCTCTGCCCTGGAGCCTCACAACAGATGGCGTGGGGACCAGCTTCCAGGCGAATCGCCGGGGGCACTTCTGCCTTGTCCAGCTCCTTCAGGATGTCTTGTGCGGCTCAGCCCCAGCCTGGCAGTGTGGCCTCCTCAGAGTCCCATAGATTTACAGATATTATGTTTCCTCGGGACAACTAGACTTCAGCCACCTCTCCCCACCTACAAATGACTGCTGGACCGCGCTGGCTTACAACTGGTCCAAACTGCAACATTCTGTTCTCCAATGAGCTCCGTCACTGTCTCTCCCTGCCCGGGGTCACATGGAAGGCAGTACATCCAGGAAACATGATGTACTCCTCCCTTCGTCGCAGCTGGTGGGTGCACACCGTGCTGTTTACCTCGGCCAGGCCTTCCACCGAGTCCATGCAACAAGGAGCTGCCACCACCCTCTATGGTGCTGCTGTTCCTGAACGCAGGGTCTAGGAGGCATGTATTTCGACAACTGTTGCCGCTGCGTGCTCTCCAGAAGCTCAGAGTGAGAAGGCAGTACTGGGCCCTGGGGGCACTCAGTGAGACAACTGATCCAAAAAAGACTCAGCAGCCAGTCCAGCTAAGTGGGAGCTCTGGCAAGGAAGGGCACACCCACCCACCCTGTGCGTGCAGGGGCATCACTGCCAACACTGGACCCTTCCAACTTACCCAGGGGCCTTTCCATGTCCCTCCAACACAGACCTGCCAGAGCAAAGGGAATAAGGAGTAGTGACAGCAGATGGGAAAATGTTAAATACCAATGGGAACCAGGAAATTCCGGCAGGAAAGACAGTATCTCTCTTCTGGGGCTGGCTTAGGCTTGGGTCATTTTGCTTTATTGGTGGTGACCTGTTTGAAAGTGAATACTCAAGTTGGTATGTGGGTTCCTTGTTTCATTGGAGAAGGACAAGCAATTCTCTGTTTAGAATAGTCTGGTGCCCCCTGTGTCACTCAGCCACCACCACAGCCACAGCCCACCATGGCCACACCTCGGCCAGGAGCTTTCTCCTGTTCAGGTAAGAGAAAGCCAGTGTTTATCCTTCTTTGCTGCATTGATCCAGGAGATAATTGTTTCATTCATCCAGACCAGGTCTAAGTGGGCTTGGCAACTACTGGAGAGAGAACTCTGAACCTTGTTCCAGCCAGCCACCATGGAGTGACACTGAGACATGGGTGCAATAGACAGAGCTAGTGGGTCACAAAAGTACTGGTCTTTTTTTTTTTTAGATATATTTTATTGATTTTTTACAGAGAAGGGAGAAGGATAGTTAGAAACATCAATGAGATAAACATCAATCAGCTGCCTCCTGCACGCCCCCTACTGGGGATGTACCCGCAACCAAGGTACATGCCCTTGACCAGAATCGAACCCGGGATCCTTCAGTCCGCAGGCTGACGCTCTAGCCACTGAGCCAAACGGGTCAGGGCAAAAGTACTGGTCTTTTGACTCCCTTGCCTAACTATGCAAAAAATTCCTTAGAGATTATAACAAACAAACTTTGCCAAGGATTTCCTCAATTCCTTGACAGCCAGGAAAAGGAGGATTGTCTATAAGAATTTACAGTGTAATTTCAGGGATAAAAAGTCACTCGCCTTATTCTTCATTCAGGCATGTGCCCTGACCAGGAATCAAACCATGACCTCCTGGATCATAGGTCAATGCTTAACCACTGAGCAATGCCAGCCGGGCAATAAAAATATATATATATATATATATATATATATATATATATATATATATATATATATATATATATAAAAAGTAGTACTGAATGGCCGATGTGGTTCAGTTGGTTGGGTGTTGTCTCATGCACCAAAAAGTTGCTGGTTGATTCCCGGTCGGGGCACATGCCAGGGTTGTGGGTTTGATACCTAGAGGGTGTGCAGGAGGCCAATGATAGATGTACTGTTCTCACATTGATGTTTCTCTCTCTCCCTCTTTAAAAAAAATCAATTAAAAAAAAGTACAGAATTGCATCTCACTATTATGCTATGTTCCCTACCCATGCACATCTTTTCTTCAAAGAATTACTTTTAACCTCCCCAACATGTGTATCCCCACTTTACATCTATCTCCAGTACTTGCCTGCTCCCTGGCTTATGCCCAAAGATGTGTCACATGCATTAACTTATTTGTGTATTCAAATAACCAAAAAAAATTTTTGAATACTGATGGAGTCCTATTCTTTAATTTTGATCTTATAAGATAACATAGAACAATCTTAATAGGAATCCATACTGTAAAGGATTCATATTAATCATTTTTCAAATTCCATTATACATAATTTACCAGTTTGATCAAATTGATGTTCATTGAGAAATTAAAACACATAATGGGACTAAAAAAATGAAAATATTACCAAATAGTCGTGCCAGAGAAGATCATTACTACCAGTATCACTCCCACATTTTATTTTTATACACACATACACAGATTTATGAACTTAATTCTATTATGAAGGCCACAGTCTGAGTTCACAAAGCCCATAGTATGTTCTTTTTCTGTTATTACATGTCCTTGTCATCACTTTAACGACTCCAAGTTATTTTGGAAATATATAACTTAAACAAATTTCTACTGATGAACACTTAATTCCATTCTAAAAATTGTGTGGCATTACTGATGTGGTATTAAAAAATTATTTGAATCTCATGATCTTAAATTCTTAAACTATGACTTCTAAATTACACATTGTTATATCTGTTTTCCAAAGATGTGTGTTTACCAAAACAGAAAAGCATGTAAATGGCATTCCAGTGCCAGTAATGAATACATTTGATGAAATTACCAAATCCCAACAAGTTTTTCTGGTATTTCTTTCATGGGGATAAGGGAAGAATATAGGAAGTTGAGAAACTAAATGTCTTTCAAATTTGGCATAGCCCCAACCAGTCCGCAGGCTGACGCTCTATCCCCTGAGCCAAACCAGTCAGGGCTAAATCTGACCCTTTTAATGGGTTACTTTGAACTCTTGCCTTAACACTGTTGAAAATGTCAATTGTGATATGTGCAGTAGCCAGTTATTGCAAAGTTAAAACTGTTTGCACTGTGAGAAAAACCAAAAGATGAATTTATATTATATATACTAACGGAACACCAGGCAGAAACCCAAATAATAAGAACCCAACCTCAGAACAGAGCCAGAGGGTAGGCCAGGAGCCAACTGCCAGGATACTACCAAAATAACGCTGCGGCGTGCAGGAGCCAGTGCACTTCTGTATTTCAACTCATGTTTGTTTCCCTGAATTATTTTTTGCAGGTTTCCTCTTCCAGATACAATTTAAAAATATTATATATATTTTCTTCCTTTGACTGATTTCACAAACGAGTACTGAATACATATACGAAGTGCTAATCAATGTTAACACGCTCCCTGCCCTCATGCCCTCACCGCAACACTTGTGTAGTCTCAGAATCACTGGGATATGTTGCACCATGGCTGAGACATTCACTTTAATGAAACAAAGGTTTTCCTTCCTCTGAGAATGGATGCAATTTATCACGGACATGGCTTCTGCAATGAAGTCTAAAGTATGACCTTGACTTGAAGCGCTTACCGCATACCTCACACTTGTAAGGCTTCTCCTTTGTGTGAACTTTCTGATGAGACTGTAGATGTGAAAACTGAGTGAAAAGTTTACCACACGCATCACATTTGTACGGCTTCTCTCCAGTGTGGACTCTCTGATGAAGCTTAAGGTGTGAGGCCCTACTTAAGTGCTTGCCGCACACCCAGCATGTGTATGGCTTCTCTCCTGTGTGGATGCTCCGATGCACTTCCAGATCCAAGCTGGTCTTGTAGCCCTTCCCACACTCCTCACATTTAAATGGCTTTTCTCTTGTGTGGACTTTTAGGTGAGCTTGTAGGTAGGCTTTCCGACCAAAGCTCTTCCCACACTCCTCACACGTGAACGGCTTTTCCCCGCTGTGGACTTGCTGATGGGCCAGAAGAAGGGAGGCCCACCTGTAGCTCTTCCCACACTCCGCACAGTTATAGGGTTTCTCTTCCGTGTGAAACCTCTGATGCCGATAGAGTTCTGTCTTAGAGTAGAAGCTCTTTCCACACTTGTCACATTTGTATGATTTCTGTCCCGTGTGGATGCTCTTATGGATGTAAAGATGTGAGCACCAACTGAAGCACTTCCCGCACTCTTCACATTTGTACGGTTTCTCTCCCGTGTGGATCACACAGTGACTATTAAGTGCTGACCTACGACGGAATTTCTTCCCACATATATCGCATTTGAACGGTTTCTCCCCCGTGTGGACCCTCTGATGGTTGTAAAGATGGTAAGCACGAAGGAAGGTCCTCCCACATTCCTCACACTTATAAGGTTTCTCTCCTGAGTGTAATTTGCAATGGTCACTAAGGGTTGCCCTACGACTGAATCCTTTCCCACACTGCTCACATTTAAATGGTTTGTCTACCGTGTGGACTCGCTGATGGGTTTGCAGACGTGAGCTCTGACTGAATTCCTTACCACACTTATCACACTTATAGCATTTCTCTCCCAAGTGAACTCTCTGATGAATACGGAGCCCTGAGCTAAAGAAGAAGCTTTTTCCACACTCACCACATGTATGAGACTTCTCTCCTGAGTGTATCTGTTGATGAAGATCAAAGTTGAAGATATCATAAAAGAATCTGTTAGATTCATTTCCCCAGTACGGTTTCTGGCCTGTGTGAGTTATAGATAGTCCTGCCCCAACCTGGCTGATTGAATCATCGTGTTTAGGGAACTGAGAACTCTTGATCATGGAGTCTTGGCTCCTGATTAGGTCACTTGCAATTTGGTGCCATATTTGCCAACAGGAAAGTTCTTCATGTGGTTCTAGTTCTGTAAGAGTCTCCATCTCATATTGAATCTTGCCTCCTATAAGAAGAGAGAATTTAAAGATGTGGATAAATGCAGACTTTGTTCAGTGTCTTTAAGAATTCACATTTAGGCCTAACTGGTTTGGCTCAGTGGATAGAGCGTTGGCCTGTGAACTGAAGGGTCCCGGTTCGACCCGGTTCGATTCCGGTCAAGTGCATTTACCTTGGTTACAGGCACCACCCCAGTAGGGAGTGTGCAAGAAGCAGCTGAATCGATGTTTCTCTCTTATCGATGTTTCTAACTCTCTCTCCCTCTCCCTTCCTCTCTGTAAAAAATCAATAAAATATATTTAAAAAGAAAGAAAGAAAGAAAGAAAGAAAGAAAGAAAGAAAGAAAGAAAGAAAGAAAGAAAGAAAGAAAGAAAGAAAAAGAATTCACATTTAGGAGAGAGCGTGAGACTTCAATAAATCCAGGGACTATTCACTATGTCCTTTGGATATGTGTCATGGTATCTGGTTTACAGAAACCAAGAAGAAGTCCAGCAGGCTCTTTTCCACTAAGCATCAATGAAATAAATCTAGAACCACACCAAGTCTCCTATGTGAGGTACAACTTAGAAATCAAAGACTTCATAACAAATACAGTAATATGATACGTTAATCAGTTACTGTTTCCATTGAATTTTATAATCAATGTAAAGTCTTCGATAGTAAATTATGAAGCAAATATATACACAATGAAGTATGAATCAAATTTTAAAGAAAAGCAGTAACATAATCAATACTTTGTATATTTGGATTTACGTTACACATCCTTACATTAGATATCTTACACAAAAAGGGATCTGGCGTTTGCCCTCCACATCTGAGAGATAAGCTCTAAGCATTTGAAATGTCATGTCTGGAAAGACATGAGGGTCTGGAGTCACAGTGGCTGGTACAACAATATGATTTTGGAATGAGGCTAACGACACCAGAAAGACCAGATTGTGATTGTGGATAAAGCTTTCAGTTACCTGGTGGTGTGAATCAAAAGACAGAATAACCTCATAAAACTATTCAAGGTATGCTGGCCATGTGAGGGAACCCCATTGTACTGAGGCTTAGGGGAGCTTCCCTGATTGGCAATACCCTGTGTAATTTCACACCTTTATGTTGGAAAGTAACACAGAAACACGTCCTTGATCCACACAGAGAGGACAGTGGAAGCTCTGTGTCTGGCTCTTCTCTAGACTCCTTTTCTCCTACTTAATTGTAAGGTGAATCCTTCCCTTTAAAAGCACTAACTATGAGTATAACAGCATTCAGCGAGTTCTATTTGGCCATCTAGACTAGAGACACATTCAAAGTGAAGGCAGTTTGGGGACCCCCACCCCCCAAACTTGCAGTTGGTGTCAAGTACAGGAGGAGGAGTGTAAACTGTCCCTCTAAACTTTGTAGTTGGCTAAACTCTTTACAATCCTGCATGTAAAAAACCTAGAGCTGTTTGTATCTATGTATGCAACGTAAATTCTACATAATATGTGTAGTTCATCTTATTGTTCTGTGTTGATACACACAGAACTTAGTTAAGATATCTGATAAAAGAAACTAGTTTTGCTGTGAAGCCAAGTCTACCCACAGGAACAGAGAAAGGGTGATGAGAAAATTAAAGGGTGAAAACACCACACAAAGGCCTATGTAATGGTTTCTTCTGAGGCTTCTGGACTATCTCTTTCAAAACAGAGTGTGGAAAAACTTTGGATAGAGAGAAATTGGGTGTTCACATCAGTTTTTAGATTGAAAACAGCAGCCTGTTAGTTAGCTGTAAAACAAATTTTAACACATGCAATAGTCCTAGCTGGTTTTGCTCAATGGATAGAGAGTCAGCCTATGGACTGAAGGGTCCCGGGTTTGATTTCGGTCAAGGGCACATGCCCGGGTTTTGGGCTCAATCTCCAGTAGGAGGCAGCCAATCAACGATTCTCTCTCATCATTGATGTTTCTATCTCTCTCCCTCTCTGAAATCAATTAAAAAAACACACACACAACAAAACAAAACAAAACACATGCAATAAATATGTGGAATAAAGAATCAGGATAGAAACTATCAGAGCATCGTCACCAGCAGGAATGAGCTCATTGCGCATATTATCTTGCAAAGTCATACATATAAATCGACACATATGTATAGTATTTCCTTTGGTTACACTGAGAGATGCATTTCTTAGGATGGCTTGTTGTACCAAAAAATTGAAAACTTGATTCAGGAACTTACCAAGTCCTTAATTAGACAAATTACTCAAATAGAAAGGTAAGTTCCAAGGTAAGTGCCTTGGAAAAATACTGCTAAGGTAAGTGTGTACCTCTTAATAGGTACTGCAGTTTATGGTTAAACTTCATAAATTGTCACTTTAAAATAGTTTTGCAGGGAGGACACAGACGTCTCTCTGAGGATGTGACAATTTTGAGTGGGCAGTTTCTTAATACGTTCCAGGCCAGATCGTTCACCAGCTGAAAATGAAACAATATGTCTCTATAAAAATAAAGGGAAATCCTGTGATAGAATAGACAACATTCAGATGTGTGACTGGTGTTACTTTTATCCTCATTCTTCCCCTTCTTGCACATGGAAGAGAAACCTGGTGACAGTGACATGGATGTTGACTTTGTAAGATGCAAACGGGCTGCAGACGGGCAAATCGTTCAAAGGAAAGGCAGCCTGCAAGCTGGTTGTTGTCTGAGAGCTCAGGGAATGCAGATTATGTTTTTCCCATTTGTGGGGGAGCGATCCAGGAGAAAACACCAGAATCCTCACTAAAGAAAGTTTTACTCCTGGAAATGAATATGCCCCCTATGCCAGGCTCCAGGAAAGCCACGGGGAAGGCATGTTCCACAGTGCAGTCACAATCACAATGCTTAGAAGTTTCCCTGGGATGTGGGTCAAGTGCACACACACAAACACACAGTGACGCTAAGGGCATCTAAGTAAGTAGAAATTATATGGGCTGTCATCTGGAGACAAAAAAATGTACTCAGTATCTTTCATTTGCTCTGTTGAATGTATCGCTTATTAGCTGTCTCCATGAGTCATGGAGTGACGGGGTGAAAAGGAAACATGAGGGTCTATGCAACAGTTTCTTATGCGGGTTCTGGACTGTCTGTTTGAAAACAGTGTGGGAACTCTTTGTTTGTAGATAAACTGGCCTTTCACATCAATTTTTCAAATCAGAAATCACAGGCCTAGCCCAGTCAGCATGCTCAGTGGTTGAGCAGCGACCTATGAACCAGGAGGTCACATTTCGATTCCCAGTCAGGTCACATGCCCGGGTGGCGGGCTCGATCCCCAGTGAGGGCCGTGCAGGAGGCAGCCGATCAATGATTCTCATCATTGATGTTTCTATCTTTCTCTTCCTCTCCCTTCCTCTCTGAAATCAATAAAAATATATTTTTAAAAAAATCACAGGCCTTCAACGAGCTATGAAATAAATGTCAAATTTTGTAATAAGCATTTAGGAAAATAAACAATAGAAACTATCACATCACCACCAGCAGGGAAGACAGTAAGGCTCGCCTACCCAATAATTCATTCATTAAGTCAATAAATATTTACAGGTATCTGCCATGTCCTGGACTATTCTAGGCACTGAGGATACAGCAATAAACAAAATAATGATAATTCTCCTCCTGTAGATTATATTCCACTGGGGAGAGAGAAGTGATAGATAAACAAAAACATGAGACACACTATCAGGTAAGTAAAGATAGAATTGTATTTTATTTTTAAATGTATATTTTTATTGATTTCAGAGAGGAAGGGAGAGGGAGAGAGAGATAGAAACATCAATGATGAGAGAGAATCATTGATCGGGAAAGAATCATTGATCAGCTGCCTCCTGCACGCCCCACACTGGGTATGGAGCCTGCCACCAGGGCATGTGCCCTGACCAGGAATCAAACCATGACCTCCTGGTTCATACGTCAATACTCAACCACTGAGCCATGACAGTTGGGCAACAGAATTGTATTTTAAATAGTGTGGTCAGAAGGCCTGTGTCATGATATTGAAACTGATTAGGCAACGAAAGAAAAAAGAAAGGGCCAGTAGTATTTGGGGTGAAAGAGCATTCCAGGCAGAAGGAAGTACAGGACCTGAAGGAAAAGCAATGTTCCTGGAAGATGTCCACGTCCAATCCCCAGAGCCTATGAACATGTTATTTACACAGTAGATAATGGGGTTGCAGATGCAATTAAGGTTGCTAACCATAAAAATGGGAAGAGCACCCAGGATTATCCCAGAGGGACCAATGTAATCAGAAGGGGCCTGAGAGGCGGGAGACAGTGAGAAGAGTGGTAAAGGAAGAGTCTAGAACAGCAGTTCTCAACCTATGGGTCTCGACCCCTTTGGGGGTCCAACGACCCTTTCACTGGGGTCGCCTAAGACCATCAGAAAACACATATATAATTACATATTATTGTGATTAATCACTATGCTTTAATTATGTTCAATTTGTAACAATGAAAATACATCCTGTGTATCAGATATTTATATTACGATTCATAACAGTAGCAAAATTAGAGTTATGAAGTAGCAACGAAAATAATTTTATGGTTGAGGGTCACCACAACATGAGGAACTGTATTAAAGGGTCGCAGCATTAGGAAGGTTGAGAACCACTGGTCTAGAAGAATGGTCAGAAATGCAACAATGATGGCTTTGAAGACAGAGGAAGGAGAACGAGAGCCAAGAAACTGGGAAGGTCCTAGAGCAGTGACGGTGAACCTTTTGAGCTCGGCCTGTCAGCATTCTGAAAAACCCTAACTCGCCAAAACCGGTTTGGCTCAGTGGACAGAGCGTCCGCCTGCGGACTGAAGGGTCCCAGGTTCGATTCCGGTCAAGGGCATGTACCTGGGTTGCGGGCACATCCCCAGTGGGAGATGTGCTGGAGGCAGCTGATCGATGTTTCTCTCTCATCGATGTTTCTAACTCTCTATCTCTCTCCCTTCCTCTCTGTAAAAAATCAATAAAAATATATTAAAAAAAAATAATAATAAAAGAAAAACCCTAACTTAACTCTGGTGCCGTGTCACATATAGAAATTTTTTGATATTTGTAACCAAAGTAAAACAAAGACTTATATTTTTGATATTTATTTTATATATTTAAATGCCATTTAACAAAGAAAAATCAACCAAAAAAATGAGTTCGCGTGTCATCTCTGACACGCGTGTCATAGGTTTGCCATCACTGTCCTAGATACTAGCAACCCAAGGGGAAGGGTCCTTCCTAGAGCATCCAGAAAGACACACAGCCCTGCAGGCACCTTGACTTAGCTCAGTGAGACATGTCACACTTCACACCTAAAGATCTAAAATATAATAAAAATTTTTTGGTAGCTCTGCTATGTTTATAGTAATTTGTTACAGCAGCAACAGGCAATGTATAGAATCCTTGGCAGGTCTGAGGAACAGTAAGGGGGACAATGTGTGTGGGAAAAATGGAACAAGAGGAAGAGGACTGGAGATGTATTTAGAGAGGGAGTGGGGACCCAGGGCAGACCACAGGGGACTCCAGACTCCAAGAGCCACTTTAAGTGGTTGGAAGAAAAAAAAAAAAGATAAAAGAATAAAAAAAAAATTCTATTCCTCACCTGATGACATTTCCATTGATTTCACTGAGAGCAAGGGAGGGAGAGAGAGAGAAAAAAAGAGAAAGAGAGGGAGAGCGAGCCAAACATCAATTGGTTGCCTCCCATACATGCCCCATCTGGGGCCAGAAATAGAACCCAAAACACAGGTATGTGCCCTGACCAAAAACGGAACCTGTGACCTTTCAGTATATGGGACAATGCTCCTACCAATGGAGCCACACCAGCCAGGGCTGAATTCCCTTTTCTTTGGATTGCCATATTCACCATCCAAAATTTTTCTCCCCTTACTAAGTGGACCATGTCTTGTTTGACTGTTTGATGCCCAGTGAACATGCAAAGTCACATGCTTAATACCAAAACATTCTAGGTAAACTGTCCTGGAAACTTAGGTTCCCACTGCATACTCTCCCAGTAATCAGAAGCAGTGTTTTTCAAACATTTTCTAAAAAATGACCAATTTACAATAATGCCATTTGTCAAGACCCATACAAGTGGGCTCTCTCCGGAGCATGCCCATGACTTTCTTCCCTCCCAGGTGTGCATCCTTACTTTTCTCTCCTAAACCCGAAGGGTCCCCATAAGACTTGCAACCAGGGGAAACCAAGATGGCGGCATAGGTAAACACCGGAGATTGCTGCCTTGCACAACCACTTCAAGAATACAACTAAAAGACGGAACGGACATCAACCAGAACCACAGGAAGGCTGGCTGAGTGGAAATTCTACAACTAGAAGGAAAGAGAAAAGCATACTGAGACTCAGAGGAGCTGTGGTGTGGAAGTAAAGTACAGAGGTACATAGGCACACGCGGAGAGGGCTGGTGGCTGAGGACATGGTTGTCTTTTTCAATCAGTAGGGAGTCTCAAGCTCTGAGCTCCAGTTCCAGGCAAGTCTCTGGGGACCCAGACTCATACGGGAGGAACTGGACTGTCTGGCATTGGTTGGAACTCGAAGGCAGCGTTCTCTCGGAGGTGCTTGCAGCGATTGCCGGGACCCTGAGAAGTGGGGCCTCTGAGGGCAGCCATAGCTGCTTGCTCCGCCCTGTTGATCCCCTGGGACCCCCACCCCGCCCAAGCTGTGTGCCGGCTTTTGCATATGAAAGGCCTGGCCCTTTGCAATCTGAAAATTACCTAACAAACTTGCAGCTGGCCCAAGGCCCCAGGGCAACTTGCATTGCTTCACAGCTGAGCTCCTGCTGGGTAGCCTCAGGTAGAGGCTAAATTAGCACCTCCTTAGAGATCCAGGAGCCAGTGCACCTAGTTGTCAGAGTGGGACCATCGAGATTGCAGCTCCTCGGATCCATAAAGTACACACTCAGCAGGCAGACTCAGTGAGCACCAAAGCCCTACTGAAGCAAGTCTTGCCCTGGAGGGGTATTTCCAGCAGAGAAGTTCTCCCACTGCAGACACAACTGATTCTCACAGACAATTGGCCTGGAGGTCAATTCCTCCCAGTGATACCTACAACAAGCAAGGCTTAACTACAACAAGAATGTGCACAAAGCCCACAAGGGGGTGCACCAAGAGTGTCCACCTCAGGTAATTGGGGAGGCTGAGCCACTGGGCCCTATAGGACACCTAGCACAGAAAGCCACTCTATCAACACAGGGAAGCATAAAAAATGCAGAGGCAAAGAAACAGGACACAAATGACAGAAATGGAGGAAAGCAAACTACTGAATATAGAGTTCAAAACAAAACTTATAAGGTTTTTCAAGAACTTTCTAGAAACCGCCGATAAATTTAGTAAGACCCTCAAAAAGTCTGGTGAGACCGCCGATAAATGTAGTGAGACCCTCAAGAAATCTAGTGAGACCCTCGAGGTTATGAAAAAGAACCAACTAGACATTAAGCATACACTGAAATAAAGGATATTATACAGAGTTCCAACTGCAGACTAGAGGAGCACAAGAATCAAGTCAAAGATTTGAAATACGAAGAAGCAAAAAACACCCAACCGGAAAAGCAAAATGAAAAAAGAATCCAAAAATACGAAGATAGTGTAAGGAGCCTCTGGGACAGCTTCAAGCGTACCAACATCCGAATTATAGGGGTGCCAGAAGATGAGAAAGAGCAAGATATTGAAAACCTATTTGAAGAAATAATGACAGAAAACTTCCCCTACCTGGTGAAAGAAATAGACTTACAAGTCCAGGAAGCACAGAGAACCCCAAACAAAAGGAATCCAAAGAGGACCACACCAAGACACATCATCATTAAAATGCCAAGAGCAAAAGACAAAGAGAGAATCTTAAAAGCAGCAAGAGAAAGAAAGTCAGTTACCTACAAGGGAGTACCCATACGACTGTCAGCTGATTTCTCAACAGAAACTTTGCAGGCCAGAAGGGAGTGGCAAGAAATATTCAAAGTGATGAATGCTAAGAACCTACAACCAAGATTACTTTATCCAGCAAAGCTACCATTTAGAATTGAAGGTCAGATAAAGAGCTTCACAGATAAGGAAAAGCTAAAGGAGTTCATCACCACCAAACCAGTATTATATGAAATGCTGAAAGGTATCCTTTAAGAAGAGGAAGAAGAAGAAAAAGGTAAAGATACAAATTATTAACAACAAATACACATCTATCAACAAGTGAATCTAAAAATCAAGTGAATAAATAATCTGATGAACAGAATAAACTGGTGATTATAATAGAATCAGGGGCATAGAAAGGGAGTGGACTGACTATTCTTGGGGGGGAAGGGGTGTGGGGGATTCGGGAAGAGACTGGACAAAAATCGTGCACCTATGGATGAGGACAGTAGGGGAGGCGGTGAGGGTGGAGGGTGGGTTGGGAACTGGTTGGAGAGGAGCTATGGGGGGAAAAAAGAGGAACAACTGTAATAATCTGAACAATAAAGATTTAATTAAAAAAAAAAAAAAAAAGACTTGCAACCAGGGGCACAACAGACAGCAGCAGCTCATCCGGGGCTCACCCCCTGACCTTGTCTCCAAGGCCCCCTTTCCTCTGACTTTTCAGTGAGCTAACAGCAGCCCCACCAGGGTTCAGTTCCAGAGCCAAAGCAGAGCACTGCCTAGGCTAGTGATGGCGAACCTATGACACTCATTTTTTTGGTTGATTTTTTTTGTTAAATGGCATTTAAATATATAAAATAAATATTAAAAATATAAATCTTTGTTTTACTATGGTTGCAAATATCAAAAAATTTCTCTATGTGACACGGCACCAGAGTTAAGTTAGGGTTTTTTAAAATGCTGACACGCCGAGCTCAAAAGGTTCACCATCACTGGCCTAGGCTCTCCTGTTGCTTCTTCTACCCTAAGCCATTCTTTTGTTTCAGTCCCCAGCTTTAATAAACATACTGACAGAATAAAATTTTAAAAAGACCCATACACATATGCAGAATGAGTTAGGCAATACTTCCTCCTTGAATATGTTGGAAGAGTGTGAGAGGATCAGTAATCTAATTAATTTTATTTCCTTAAAAACTGAGAGTAGGGCCCTGGCTGGCTGGCTCAGTTGGTTGGAGCATCGTCCTGTACACCAAAAGGTTGCAGGCTCGAGTCCCGGTCAGGGCACATACCTAGGTTTTGGGTTCAATCCCAGGTTGGGGTGCGTGTGGGAAGCAACCGATCCATGTTTCTCTTTCTCTCTAAAAATCAATAAAAACATATCCTTGGGTGAGGATTAAAAAAAAATTGAGAGTAGGTCTCAATTGATTTTATAACTCATGATAGAGTCAAAAATTGATAAGGCAGAGCGGTATACTGTGCATTTACAATTCCTTAACAAAACACAAACTTGCCCGCTGATAAAAACAAAATAATTCGCTCTCTGTGTCCACTGTATATTAGGAAAGTCAGACCCCCAAACTCAGGGAACCATTACAAGGGCTCCAAAGCCTTGAACACCCAAGGATACAAAGCTACTCCCGGGAGCTGACATGCAGTCACAGAGCGCCTGTCCTCACCCACTGAGACCAGGTTCCGGAAGTTCTCCAGCATCACGTCTCGGTACAGCTTCCTCTGGGACGGATCCAGCAGCCCCAGCTCCTCCTCCGTGAAGACCACAGCCACGTCCTGGAACGTCACTTCCTCCTACAACACCGAACACATGTAATCTCAACCAGCACCGAGCAGATGCCGTCGGCTTATGTGTTCTTTCAACAGAATGGCTAGTGTTCCTTGACCCTGGCTTGGTTTCCTGTGTGAACTTAAGCAGGTTTCTCAGTTTCTTCCTATTTGAGTGAAACATGAAATCAAGAACCTCCTTATCCAGTAGCTCAAAGGAGTAAGTGCATGGCATATCCAGCAAGACGACTTTTTCTTTTTTATTGATTTGAGAGAGAAACATCAATTTGTTGTTCCACTCATTTACGCATTCACTGGTTGCTTCTTGTATGTGCCCTGGCCAGAGATCGAACTCGCAACCTTGGTTTATTGGCACAACACTCTAACCAACTGAGCTATCTGGCCAGGGCAAGACTAGATATTTTTAAATAATATTTTTATTCAGGCACAGCTGCAGCAGGGAAGTTCTCGGAACCCAGCTGCCTGGGGTCCAGTTTCCACCCTGGCATCTTCCTGCAGGCCCATCTCGTGCGTCCCGCAGCTCCGGACTATTGTGGGTGTCAACCCGAGACATGGGGAAAGTGAGGAGGCTGCAGGCCCACGTGCACCAGGCTGCCATGAGGCTCACAATGGAGTCCAGGCTCGGCCTCTCACCTCTGGCCCAGGAGGCAGCCCCTCTCCACAGGCCTTGGCTGCTGGAGTCTGGAGAAAGGTGTGTATCTCCTAAACTCTAAGGGACCACATGAGGCTTGCAGCCAGGGCAGCAATGGGCAGTGGCAGTTCCTCCCAGGCAAACCCCCTGAGCCTGGCCCCTGGCCCCTTTCTCTGACTTCTTAGTGAGCCAAAGCAGACCAGCCTACACTCATTTCCCCAGCCCTTCCTTTGTTTCATTGTCCCTAGCTTTAATAAACGTCTTCTAAAAATATATATATATTTTTATTCATATTTAAAGAGAGAGGAGGGGACAGGGAGAAAGAGAAACATCCATGTGAGAGCGAAACATTGATCAGCTACCTCCTGCATGCCCCCTACTGGTATGGAGCCAGCACCCTGGGCATGTGGCCTGACCAGGAATCGAACCAGTAACCTTTTGGTGCCCAGGACCATGCTCAATCAACTGAGCCACACCATCCAGGGCAAGAGAGAACATCTTTAACCACTGTTATACCTTAGGTTATAACTGGAGGCAACTAAGATATCCTTCAGGTGGTGAATGGATAAACTGTGGTACATCCAGACCACAGTATAATTTAGTGCTAAAAAGAAATGAGCTATTAAACCACAAAAAGACATGGAGGTAATTTTAACGCATATTACTAAGTAAAAGAAGCCCGTTTAAAGGTTATTTATGGATATTCCAATTACATGACATTCTGGAAGAGGTAAAATTATGCAGACTGTAAAAAGATCAGGGGGTGCCAGGGGCTGGAGGAAGAGAAGGATAAAGAGGTGGAGCACAAGGGGATTTCAGAACATGAAACTAGTGTGTATGAGAGCATAATGGCTGGGACATGCCATAATATAGCGGTTCTCAATCTGTGGGTCGCAACCCCTTTGGCGGTCAAACGACCCTTTCACAGGGGTCGCCTAAGACCATCCTGCATATCAGATATTTACATGACGATTCATAACAGTAGCAACATTACAGTTATGAAGTAGCAACAAAAATAATTTTATGGTTGGGTTACAACACGAGGAACTGTATTTAAAGGGCCAGAAGGCTGAGAACCACTGCCATAATATATTTGTCCAAAACCTACAGAATAGAATGTACACAGTGAACCCTAAGCCTGACTGGTGAGGCTCAGCATTGACCTATGAACCAGGAGGTCACGGTTCTATTCCTGGTCATGGCACACCCAGTAGGGGCCTTGCAGGAGACAGCTAATCAATAATTCTCTCTCATCATTGATGTTTCTATCACTCTCTCCCTCTCTGAAATCAATAAAAAATATATTATTTAAAAAGAAAAAGGGAACCCTAATGTAAAGTCTGGATTCTGGTGATAATGATGTGTCAATGCAGGTTCATCAATTCTAACAAATGTACCAATCTGATGGGGGGTATTATAAAGGCAGAGGCCCTGGCCAGTGTGGCTCAGTGATTAGGATGTCAGTCTGCAGACTGAAGGGTTGAGGTCTTGATTCCCAGTTAAGAGCATGTACCTGGGTTGCAGGTTCCTTCCCTGGCCCCCTTCTCGACACTTGTGGGAGGCAGCCAACTGATGTCTCTCTCACATCGATGCTTCTCTCTCTATCTCTCTTTCTCTCTCTCTTCCTCCCTCCCTCCCCTCTTCCCTCGCTCCCACTCTCTTTATAAAATAATCAATGGAAAAATATCCTCAGATGAGGATTAACAGGAAAAAAAAAATAGATGAGGCTGTGCATGTGTGAAGGCAGGAGGTACAGGGAAATCTGTGTATCTTCTGCTGGATTTTAATGTGAATGCAAAACTGCCCTAAAACATAAAGTCTATTATTTAAGAACATACACACAAACATAAGGTTATATATTACTTTGAAAAAAGAATTATTACATGCAGGAATAAATGTAGATTAGTAGCCCAGCTGGTGTGGCACAGTGGCTGAGTGCCAGGAGCCAGTCCACCCTTGCTGCTTGACACAGTCGCTGCAGGAAAGAAACATCTGAACAGCATATGTTTCAAGGGACCTGGCGTATATGGCATATGTTTGCTCTCCCCCTCTTAGTGCTATGTGTTTTAACCAGGACCACCTCCCTGAGAAAGATTGTTTCCCCAAGTGGGGATGTTGGGGATTGACGGGACTGTGGAGGGGAATGAATCAGTAAAACCCCCTAGTGTTACAGAAATACCATGTATTACTTATGAAGAACTTGGACTAAGACTGTTGGCAATAAATTTGGGACTTGTGGGGCCCATATCCCAGGGGTCTGCCCACCAGGGAAAGCACCAAAGCCTACACCCCTGGAGACCCACCGACACAGGGCAGTCCCAGGGAAGGCAAGCATCGGGGCTGGGAGGACATAACCTTTACTGGGTAGGATAATCTCCTTCAGTCACTTCCTTGTATCAGTAGAGCATGAGAATAGTGACCTTGGAATAGCCCTTATAATTGAACACAGAGATTAACCTAGACAAGATTAAAATCAACAGAACTAGATAGAGACAGGATTTTTGGCAAAGGTCAGATAAGAAACTATGGACTTGAAACAAGGAACTATAGAAGGTCAAGGGAGGACCCAAAACATACTATGATGTGACTATAGAGGGTGCTTATAGGATCAAATGGTATAAATACAGATGTAACAGGAGAAAAAAGAGAGAACCCACTATACCAGGGGTGGGCAAACTTTTTGACTCGAGGGCCACAATGGGTTCTTAAACTGGACCGGAGGGCCGGAACAAAAGCATGGCTGGAGTGTTTGTGTGAACTAATATAAATTCAAAGTAAACATCATTACATAAAAGGGTACGGTCTTTTTTTTTTTTAGTTTTATTCATTTCAAACGGGCCGTATCTGGCCCGCGGGCCGTAGTTTGCCCACGGCTGTACTATACTGATCAACTGAACGCTGTCTCTGTCAATCATTCTTCGCTGACTCCATCCACACCTTTGGGAACCCCTGGACCTGCTAGGGCTAGACCCCAACAGTTAAGCAGCGACCTATGAACCAGAAGGTCACTTTTCCATTCCCTGGGCATATGCCCAAGATGCAGGCTTGATCTCCCATAGGGGGCATGGAAGAGGCAGACAACCAGTGATTGATTTTCACTCATCATTGATTTTTCTCTCTCCCTGTCCCTTCCTCTCTGAAATCAATAAAAATATATTTTAAAAAGAGTAGATGAGTAAGTAAAAGACATGTAGGATCTTGCCGAAACCGGTGTGGCTCAGTGGATAGAGCGTCGGCCTGCGGACTGAAAGGTCCCAGGTTCGATTCCGGTCAAGGGCATGTACCTGGGTTGCGGGCATATCCCCAGTAGGAGATGTGCAGGAGGCAGCTGATCGACGTTTCTCTCTCATCGATGTTTCTAACTTTCTATCTCTTTCCCTTTCTCTCTGTAAAAAATCAATAAAATATATTAAAAAAAAATAAAATAAAAAAAAAAAAAAAAAAAAGAAGTTAAAAATTAAAAAGTGTGTCAATAATAGAAATACTACATAATCATAAAAAGTAAATGTGACATTAAATGAAAAAGCCCTATTTAATATTAGATGTAATTGTGAATATTAATTAAGCTATGAATACACGAGGAAGAGAATATAAGAAAATAATAGTTAATGTGCCAGCAGTGAAGTAATAAAGTTGGAGAACTTGTGGTCATTTCTATTAATTTGTCCACATATTTTTGAAGTAAAATGAAATGACAAAATAAAACCAACACTAAAAGCAAGTAAAAGTAAACACATCTTTAAATGCCTGGTGTTCTCCTTGAGTCATCCAGGAAAGGGAAAAGCACGTCATCTTCTGAGTAGCGAGCTGGAATTTTTAACAGTAAAAAAGTGAACCATACGCACCTTAAGTGTGGTCATTCTTGTCTTCTTACTTCTGCAAATGTAGGTCCTGGCTGAGATATGGAGAGTCCTGGCAGGTAGAACTGTGCCTGGGAGTGTCTGAAAAGACAGAAAAAGGGCATGAAAGGGTGACCGGGATGTTGCTCACCTCCCTGAATACTTCCTGTGAATTAGCCAAGGAGCCCCTTTCTTGAGGTGGCTGCTGCTGTACACAGCTTGGCGAGATCTCAGCAGGGCCTCCATTCCTGCACCACACACACACTGGCACCATCTCCAACACTGCCTTGTGGTACCCAAGGTCACAAATCAGATTCTGGTATGATACAAATTGAGACAATAGAATGTCCAGAGCAAGGATCATCTCTGGAGCAGCAATATATGGGTTCAAATCCTAATTCAGCACCTCACGGAGATGGGCTGTCTTGGGCAAATTAGTAACATCTCTTTTCCTCAATTGTGTCATATGTACAACTGAGAGAATATTAGCTCCAAATTAATTGAACTCTTCAGAGCTAGAAAGCACTTTATTTATTTATTTTTTTAAATATATTTTATTGATTTTTTGACAGAGAGGAAGGGAGAGAGATAGAGAGAGTTAGAAACATCGATGAGAGAGAAACATCGATCAGCTGCCTCCTGCACATCTCCTATTGGGGATGTGCCCGCAACCCAGGTACATGCCCTTGACCGGAATCGAACCTGGGACCTTTCAGTCCGCAGGCCGACGCTCTATCCACTGAGCCAAACCGGTTTCGGCTGGAAAGCACTTTAAATACTAAAAGGATTTCTTATTTTTATAGCTATAGTAAAAAAGATGGTATTTTATAATATGAAATTGGTCTATAATGTGATCACTACCAAAAGACATTGTATGGTACCTGTACTTCTGAAGTGATTGTTCTGTTCTGTAAAGGTCACTCAGAACTTCTGAAAAATCTGTTGACTGCCTCATTGTCTTCCCTAACAATGTGAAACTTTAGCAATAATTTTTAAATGACCACAGACAACTGTTTTCTAAAACAACAACAACAAGGCTGGTCCGAGTGCAGTGGTGTCTTACAACTAAAACAACAACAACAATAACAACAAATTGGTTTCTAGTATCTGATAAGAAACACAAGATTCTGGACAAGATTTGTGGAAAACAGTTTTGGCAGTTTCTTAAAAAGTTATTCCTAAAGTTACCAATCACCAAGCAATTCCACTTCTAGGTATCTATCAAAGAGAAATGAAAACATATCTCCACACAAAAACTTACACCTAAGTGTTTATAAAACTGTTATTCATAAGAACCCCAAACAGGAAACAACTAAAATGTACACCTATGTGGGTGAATGGATAGGGAAAGTGTGATATATCCACAGTAAAATATTCACGGGCAATAAAAAGGAATGGAATTATGATATGTACTACAACATGATCTTGAAACATTATAAGTTAAAGAGCCAGTCTCAAAAGACCACATATTGTTTTATCCCATTTAAATAAAAGGTTGAAAAATACAGAGACAGGAAGTAAGCTAGTGGTTGGTCTGAGATATGAGAATGAGGATTAACTATATATGGGAACTAGAGGGCCGGTGCATGAAAACTCAGCCCGGCCTGCCCCCTCTCACAGTCTGGGCACCCTGAGGGGCGGGAGGCGACCCAGCTATCAGGGGAAGGCGACGCCCCCATCACACCTCTGCTGCTGTGCAAGCCTCGGCCGGCCCTGGTTACCTGAGCCTCCGGCGGCCTTGGGAGGCTTGGCAGCCGACCCCCGAGGCTTGCCTGCACCTTGGGCCGGCCCTAATGACTGGGGGGCTCTGGTGGGGCTGAGGGACTGGGCATCGCCATCTTGTGGCTATGGGCACCGCCATCTTTGTGACGGGGTAATGGTCAATTTGCATATTCCCTCTTTATTAGATAGCATAGCAGAGAGAACGAAGATGGTGGTGTAGGTAAATGTCAGTACTCACATCCTCCCACAACCACTTCAAAGTTACAACTAAAATACAGAATAACCATCATTCAGAACCCCCTGAAATCTGGCTGCCTGGAAGTCCTATGACTAGAAAAGTAAAGAAGAAAGTGCATCGAGACTGGTCAGAGGGGTGGAGGCACAAAACAGGCTGGTCTGACACACGTGTGGTTTTTTTTTTTAACTCGGGAAGGATAGATATATTGGCTGTGGAGGTCTCCCGCGAGGAGCAAGGGGTCCCAGCCTCACACCAGACCCCCACCCAGGGTTCCAGGGCTAGAAAGAGAAGTCTCTGTATCTTTGGGGTGTAAAAACCACCCGGGATTGGGACTGAGTGATATGGAGGCTGCTGGAGAACCAGGCATTTCCTCTTAAAGGGCTAGCACAGGAGTTACACAGTCCCGCTTCCTCTGAGCTCCAGCACTGGACAGCAGTATTGGGGGAATCAGGGACATACGGGAGGAACTGGATTGTCTGGCATTGGGGCAGGAACACAGGGGCGGCTTTTCCCCAGACAAGGGTGCTTGCAGGGGTCATCGTTCCTGTGCTGGGACCTCCCCCATTCCAGAGCCGACTGGCAGCCATATCTGAGTTTCCATCAGTGAGGCTCACACTGTTCACTCCACCCTGGTGATTCCCTGAGAAACCTGCCCCATCCAACTTGCAGCCCCACCCAAGTTGTTTGCAGTGGCTTTTCCGTCTGAATGTCCTGTCCTGGTTCAGGCTTTAGACTTTCCTAAAATCTCTCAAACGAGGAGCAGCTGGTGTCAACATGCCCCATATCTTTAATAATAAAAGCATAATATGCTAATTAGACCAGACGTCCTTCTAGACGACCTTCTGAATGAGGCCGTGGTGGGGGGGGGTGGGAGGAGTGCTAAGGCAGAGGCAGCCATGGCAGCGGGCGGGGGCCAAGGCAGAGTCAGCCGCTGCGGCATCAGGGGCTCAGACCCTTGCACAAATTTCGTGCATCGGGCCTCTAGTCTATCAATAAGATATCCAAGACTTGGCACCAGCACTAGCCTGCCTTGCTTCACAGCTTGGCCTAGCCTGGGCACCTCCAAGCCCAATACAAATAGCAAATAGCAGCCATCTGCAGATCCTTCTGTAGCTCCTGACGGGTGGCCCCAAGCAGTGGCAGACTTTGCACGTCCCAGAAGGCCCCAGAGCCAGTGTACCTGGCGGACAGCTTCAGGCTATACCAGATTACAACTCTACACATCACAAGCCACACTCAAGGAGTAGACTCGGTGAGCACCAAAGCCCCACTGAAGCATGTCCTGCTCCATAAGGGTGTCTCTTGCACAGTGGCTCTTCCACTGTAGTCGCAGCTGGTCCTCACAGTCAATTGGCCTGGAGGTCAACTCCTCGCAATCAAGGGTCAACTACAATAAGACTGTGCACACGGCCCACACAGGGGCACACCTAGAGGGCCCAGCTCAGGTGTCTGGGGAGGCTGAGCCACTGGGCCCTACAGGACACCTACTACACATGGCCAATCTACCAATTCCAGGAGACACAGCAACTCAACCTAATACATAGAAACAAACACATGGAAGCTGCCAAAATGTGGGACACAGAAACATGTGACAGATGAAAGAACAGAAGAAATCTCCAGAAAAAGAACGAAATGAAATGGAAACAAGCACACTACTAGGTAAAGAGTTCAAAACAACGGTTATAAGTTTGCTCAAGGATCTTAATGAGAGGTTCAAGGAACTTAGACTTTCAAGGAACTTAATGAGAATTTCAAGGATCTTAGTGAGAATTTTAAAGACATGAAAAAGGACCAGTCAGGTGCAGCCACTATGGAAGACAGTATGGAGTTTCCTCAAAAAGTTAAAAATGGAACTCCCATTTGACCCAATAATCCCACTTCTAGGAATATATCCCAAGAAACCAGAAATACCCATCAGAAAGGATATATGCACCCCTATGTTCATAGCACCACAATTCACCATAGCTAAGATCTGGAAACAGCCTAAGTGCCCATCAGTAGATGAATGGATTAGAAAACTGTGGTACATCTACACGATGGAATACTATGCTGCTGTAAAAAAGAAGGAATTCTTACCATTTCCAACAGCATGTAACTGGAGAGCATTATGCTAAGTGAAATAAGCCAGTCAGTGAATGAAAAATACCACATGATCTCACTCATTTATGGGTAATAAAGACCATTATAAACTGATGAACAAAAATAGATATAGAGGTCCACGCCCCGCTGATTCTGGTCCCGGAGCGTCACCCAGCACACTGGCTAGTGAGCCGCCCCTGCCGCCCTCTTTCTTCGTTAGCTCCTCTCCTTCTCGCTCAGCTTGCCGGGAACATGAAAAGAGAAGGCCGGGGGAAGCTCTGAACCCCTTCTGCTCCTGCCTATCGCAAGTGCAACTACCGCCATAGGCCTCATCATCTCCTCCCTCTTCCCTCTTCTCCTGCCTCTTCGGCAAGAAGCAGATGCGCATTTTGATGGTTGGATTGGATGCTGCTGGCAAGACGACCATTCTGTATAAACTGAAGTTAGGGGAGACAGTCACCACAATTCCTACCATTGGTTTTAATGTGGAAACAGTAGAATATAAGAACATTTGTTTCACAGTATGGGATGTTGGTGGTCAAGATAAAATAAGGCCTTTCTGGGGGCATTACTTCCAGAACACCCAGGGTCTTATTTTTGTGGTAGATAGCAATGATCGTGAAAGAATTCAGGAAGGAGCTGAAGAGCTGCAAAAAATGCTTCGGGAAGATGAGTTTCAAGATGCAGTGTTGCTGCTTTTTGCAAATAAACAGGATTTGCCAAATGCTATGGCCATCAGTGAAATGACGGATAAATTAGCTCTTCAGTCTCTTCGTAACAGAACATGGTATGTTCAAGCCACTTGTGCTACACAAGGAACTGGCCTGTATGAGGGACTTGACTGGCTGTCAAATGAGCTTTTAAAACGTTAAATGAAACTGGGTATCTAATCAAGGACATGTTGGATAGAATTTGTCTAGGCTTGTTACAACAAAATTAGTTTGCATCTTGGTTATTAAACAGTATCTGGGACTGGTTTGGGCAGAATATTACAGCGTTTAAACTTATTTTGTTGCCAATTATTGTTTACCAAGTATAAATGTTGCACTTTAGCAATATGCTTGGTTTTAAAGAAATTATCTTTAACTTGGGGGGGGGGGGGGAATTTTCTCTTTTAATTTTACTTCCCTTAAGCCTAAATGTCTGAACATAGCTATTGTGACACCTTTAAATAAATCCGTTTTGAATGTTTTTTGAGCCCACAAAAAATAATGTTTTAAAGTTATCCCCTTGCTACTTTACTGATACCTTTATCAATCCTGGGACAGTCTGCTGATTTAAAAATAAAATGTAGCATTCCATTTGTATTTATTTTCCTCCCTTGCCAAAAAGATTTTCTAATACTGCTTGTACCAGCCAGGGAAATGCTCCAAAACACTACTGAGATCTCCTGCACTGAGGAACTTACTACTCCTCCCTTCTCTCCCCCGATTATGACTCCTGGCTTCCATCAGCCAAGCTTACCTTGGTGTGGTTTGGATTCAATAGCTAATTAGTTCTATGCTGGTAGCAAAGAGTTCATATGGAGATGATTTTTAATACCCAGCAGATTGTCTTTCTTTATATTGTATCTTTTTTATGTTGCATGTTGCTTTTGGTATCAGCCTGACTCTTTGCCCAGTATATGATAGTTCTGCTGATGTTTTATTGTTTATTGGTGAACGTATTTTCATTAAGAGTTTTTGGAAAACTCATCAAACTCAAATGAATAAGTTTTCTTCATAACCCATTTGGAATTATTCCTAATAAAATGATAAAATATATAAAAAAAATAGATACAGAGGCAGAGCAGCATGGAACAGACTGTCAAACTGCAGCGGGAAGGCTGGGGAGGGTTGGGGGAACAGGGGATAGAGATCAACGGAAGGACTTGTATGCATGCATATAAGCATAACCAATGGAAACAAGGCACTGGGGCACAGGGGAGGCCGGAGGAAGGTCAAGGGGGGGAAAAAAGGAGACATATGTACTACTCTTTGTAATACTTTAAGCAATAAAACAAAATTAAAAAGGACCAGTCAGAAATTAAACATACACTAACTGAAATAAAGAATTTACAGGGATTCAATAGTAGCATAGAGGACTCCAGAAACAAATTAATGATTTGGAATATGAGAAAGCAAAAAACACCCATCAGAAGAGCAAAAAGAAAAAAGAATCCAAAAATATGAAAATAGTGTAAGGAGCCTCTGGGACAACTTCAAATGTACCAATATTCACATTATGGGGGTGCCAAAGAAGAGAGAGCAAGATATTGAAAACCTATTTGAAGAAATAATGACAGAAAACTTCCCCTACCTGGTGAAAGAAATAAACTTACAAGTCCAGGAAGCTCAGAGAACCCCAAACAAAAGGAATCCAAAGAGGACCACACCAAGACACATCATAATTAAAATGCCAAGAGCAAAAGACAAAGAGAGAATCTTAAAAGCAGCAAGAGAAAAGCAGTTACCTATAAGGGAGCACCCATACAACTGTCATCTGATTTCTCAACAGAAACTTTGCAGGCCAGAAGGGAGTGGCAAGAAATATTCAAAGTGATGAATGCCAAGAACCTACAACCTAGATTACTTTATCCAGTAAAGCTATCATTCAGAATTGAAGGTCAGATAAAGAGCTTCACAGATAAGAAAAAGCAAAAGGAGTTCACCACCACCAAACCAGAATAACATGAAATGTTGAAGGGTATTCTTTAAGAAGAGGAGGTGGAGAAGGAGGAGGGAGTAGAGGAGGAGGGGGAGGGGGAAGAGGAGAAGGAGAAAAAAGATGAACAATAAAATGGCAACAAATACAGATCTATCAACAATTGTATCAAAAAATCAAAATAAACGAACAAGAAATCTAATGAACAAAATAAACTGATGAATAAAATGGAAACATGGAACAGACTGACGAATCTCAGAGGGAAGGGGGGGAAGGGACGGGGAGAGATGAACCTAAAATCTTATATGCAAATATGCATCCCCTATGGACACAGACAACAGGGTGGTGAAGGCCTGGGCTGGGGCGGGAACTGGGTAGAAGGAGGGGCAATGGGGGGCGGAAGAGGGACATCTGCAATCCTCTCAACAAATTTTTAAAATAAAGATTAAAAAAATAAACATGCAGACTAGAGCAAGAATAAGGAAGTTATAGCAGAACAAAGCAGCCGCTTGGGCGTTGCAAGGCCACGTTCCTTCAGGGGAAGGCAAAGGTCCACGGCAGCTGACCTACCTAGTGCTCATCTGGAGATTCCTGATGGACTAGTTTAAGACTCCACTCCTGGGAGAGACGAACTGTCATGAAGTCTCAGTGCGGAGACAGGAGGCTTAGCCTAACTGACTCCTTCTGGGGCCCTGTCCTGTTTCTAACATCCCTGTCCGAGAAATCAGAGCTGTACAGCGCCTTCCCCACTGCCGCCTCCTTCCCAGCCAGGAGTGGCTGGAAGTCCAGCTTCCTACAGAGATCACAGGGAAATAAATGCCTGGGCACCGCAGCTCCAGCTCCAAACCCATCGCACTCCCCGGTTTCCGGGGAAACGAGCACTTCCCAAAACTAAGAAGTACGGACCACAAGAAGCCACCATTCGCCACCTGCCGAGAACTGCCTGGAGACTTTTACGAGTACTCTCGTTTAATACTCAAACCGCTGCATTAAGATAGTCATGTCATCCCAACTTCACAGAAAGACGTCGGAGACAGAGATGTAGGTAATTTGTTCAATGCTCTGCCTCGGGAAGCCGCAGAGCGGGTGGACGGTGCGCGGCCCCGGGAGGCGGAAAGCGCTGGAGACGCCGGACCCGACCGCCCCAGACGCGGACGCGCCCCGCCGAGGGGAATGCCTGCCGCCCAAGCCCTGACACCCCCGCTTTCGGATACAACCTTTTCCTCCCAAACCGGTGGTCGGCCGGGTTTTACCGGGACCCAGAGAAGTTCGGGAGGTTGGGCAAACACGGAGCCCACTTACCGCAGAGCAGGGAGCGCAGACGGTCACCTGGGCGCCCAGGGAGGAAGCGCAACGCTGGAAATACACCTCCCAGAATTCCCCTGCCCCGGCGGCGCCCAGGCGGAAGTGTCCGCGACTCTGCGGGACCTGTGGACTACACTTCCCAGAAAGCCCGGGGACTCGGCCCGCAGTCGCACCCGCCTCAAGCGGAAGTGCTCGGTACCCTACGGAGTGGGACCACCAGGACCACGGAAGTCGTGGGAACGAAGTTCGCCCCGTCGCCCTCACGGCGGCAACGTGATAACGACACTGAGGGATAGTGTTTCCCTCTCCTGAATCCACGAGCAGAACTAAATGTCTTCAGTGATTACAGTGTTGTTGGAAAAGTGAACAATGAGCTACGAAATTAAATATTAATCTCAAACCAGGAAATGTTCAATTTAGGGGCAGTAGGGAGAAGAAAGGAGGGTAACCTTGTGTGTAATGTTAACTGTACGAGAATTAAAGCGGGGTGTTTGAAGAATGGGGAGGGAGAATGGTTTGGGAGAGGCAATGATGTGCGAAGAAGGTGTGGACAAAAGGGGCCACATGGCTGACTGACAAGCTCAGGGGAGGCCTGCATGGTGGTCTTGCAAACTCAGAGACCTAAAGTAACCACAAAGGATGGTCTGAAATTAAACTTTAACTAAAGCAGTTATGGTGGGTGGTTACATCCTAGGCCGGTATCTTCACTGACAAGGTCAACCTTTACCTCAACTGAGCCTGTCTGTCTTTTTGCATCTATGATAACACACCCTCGAAATGTTTGGGTGTATTATTTGTAACTTTCCTTTTTCTGGAGCCCCTGGGGCACAACCAAATCTGTGCTGGGCGCCAGGAGAGATACCATGAATTCCTTCATTATCATGTTAATTGATCCTTCTCCAGAACATTATCTCAATTCATTGAGGTTCTGCTTCCCGGCATTTGACAGTTTGGCTGAAATAAACTCATAAAAATTCTTTACAGGTTTCAATGATTTTTTTATGTTAACAAAGGTATTAACCTCTATTCTTTTAAAAATATAAATATTTATTGATTTCAGAGAGGAAGTGAGAGGGAGAGAGAGATAGAAATATCAACAATGAGGAAGAATCATTGACTGGCTGCCTCCTGCACACCCTCTACTGGGGATCGAGCCCACAACCCGTGCATGTGCCCTTGTCCAGAATCGAACCCAGGACCCTTCATTCTGCAGCCTGACACTCTAGCCACTGAGCCAAACCGGCCAGGGCTAAACTCTATCCTTGACGTAGTGGTACCAGTGGTTTGGTAGGTTATAATGCTACAATCAGGAATCACATGTAAAGTTATTAAATACTATTGGTCATAATTAAATTGATTAAATTAACTTGAGATAGCACTACATTCTCACAAGAAAAGCTAAAAGATAAAAAAACCAAAAAAACAAAAAACAACTTAGCAAAATGCCAAGACTGTCATACTGTGGGTGAAAAGGGACCACGTGCTAATCTGACAAGCTCAGAGAAGCCTGCCTGGGGGGTCTTGCAAACTCAGAGACCAAAAGTAACCACCAAGGATGGTCTGAAATGGACACTTTTGGTAGTCATGTCCTGGGCCGGCATCTTCCCTGACAAAGGTCAATCTTTACCCTAATTGAGCCTGTCTATTGTCTTTTTGCATCTACAATAACATATCTTTGAATGTCAAAGTGAAGTATGGTAGCAACCATTTCAGGTGGAAACTGTAGTTTAACTCTAACCCTGTTGTTTGGCTTAACAATATAAAGGTTACTTTGATTTTCTAAATTGTATAAGTCATCCCATTCGATTGAATGCCTTATTGATTGAATGACTATTCCATTGATTGTTATCATACTGGTCTTAGAGAGCACATTCTTCTGTACCTGGGAAACAGGACAGCACAATTACCCTAAATTGTTTTAGTGGCCACAGGTGGTGCGTTCCAGCTGCCTCAGTGGTCCCGAGACCAGGACAGCACAATTACTCTAAATTGTCCTGACAACTCAGTAGTCGGGAGACCCGAGGGCTCTAGATAATGTGTTTCTATCAACTCAGTGATCCGAGACCCAAAACTGTAATTTAGATAACATGCCTAAGTTTAACCTGTATTTCTGTCAATTCAGTGACCCCGAGACCCGAAACTGTAATTAACACGCTTAATTCTGCTTCTGTAATTTGCTTTTTTGTGAGCCAGGTGCCACATTCCAAACCCTGGGATGTAATCAATACCTTTGTGATTTTTGCCTATATAAGTCTGGTTTTGCCACGATCTTATGGCTATGAGATTTGGGAATGCCCCCTCATAGTCCCGAATTGCAATAAATGTGACTCTTTAATTCGACTTCTTGAGGCGTCCTTCTGTGATTCGCGGGGTACGTTATAACAAAAGTAATTTTCCTTTTTCTGGACCCCTCAAAGCACAGGTACCACTCCTATGAGACCACAAATTCCCTCATTGTTATTGAGTTCATTGTTGATTGTTAAAGAAGTATGTGTCTGTGGACGAAAGGGGCCACACGCTGACCTGACAAGCTCAGGGAAGGCCTGCGTGGCAGCCTAGCAGACTCAGAGACCTAAAATAACCACAAAGGATGGTCTGAAATTAAACTTTGACTAAAAGCAGTTATTTATGGTGGGCAGTTATGTCCTAGGCCGGTATCTTCACTGACAAGATCAACTTTGATCCTGACTGAGCCCATTTGCCTTTTTGCCTCTAAGATAACATTCCTTTGAAGTGTCTGGATAACTTGTAACTTCCCTTTTTCTGGAACCCCTGGGGCATAACCAAATGTTCTGGGCGCCAGGGCAGATACTACAAATTCCTTCATTATCATGTTGATTGATCCTGCACCCACCTAAGTATGTGTCCATCATTTTACTTTTTATCCTATCCCAGAGGTTTCCCCGCTTCGCTTAATCCCACCTCCTTAAATCTGTCACCAATGAATTTCATGTATAAATACGAATGTAACCCTGCCATTCTCCGGAGCACTATCTCAATTCATTGAGGTTCTGCTTCCCTGCATATGTCGACAGTTGGCTCAAATAAACTCACAAAAATTCTTTACAGGTTTCAATGGTTTTTTACGTTAACATGTCTATCATTTTACTTTTATCCAATCCCAGAAGTTTCCCGCCTTTCTTTCTCCTGCCTCCCCAATCTATCACCAATGGATTTCATGTAACTCATGTAGGTCTCATCTTTCGATTGTAATGCATAAAATAAAGTGCAAAACTGCCATTCTCTGCAGCATTATCTCAATCTGTTAAGATTTTGCTTCCTGGCATTTGTTGACATTTTGGCTAAAATAAATTCACAAAAATTTTTCACAGGTTTGAATGTTTCTTATATTGACAATACTGTTCTTTGTAGTATAAGTTGGTACAACCACTTTGGAATATTTTTTAAAAATTACTGATTTCAGAGAGGAAAAGAGGGAGAGAGAGAGAAACATCGGTGATGAGAAAGAATCATTGACTGGCTGCCTCCTGCATACCCCACACTGGGGATCAGTCCTGCAACCCAGGCATGTGCCCTGACCAGGAATCAAACTGTGACCTCCTGGTTCATAGGTCAAAGCTCAACCACTGAGCCATGTTGGCTGAGCCACTTTGGAACATTTTTGAAGGGAAAGCTACTAAAGCTAAAGATATTCATATGCCATAACCCCTTGGTTCAAACTATACACATGGTTCTCAAATTAATATATCCTTACATTCAGCCAAAGATGTTTCCCAGTATGCTCAGGCCAGAACTGCTTTTACGAACCAACCGTGCAACTACCCAATGATCATCTATAATAAAATGGATTATTGGTAAATTTACACATTGTAGAAATATCCACCAATGAGAGTGAATAAAATTCCTCTAGTCCCCAAATTTGAATTTCATAAACATAATGTTGAGAAAAAGTTTGACATAAAATATTAAGTATTGTATGATTTCATTTCTGGAAAATACAAAAACAAACTCAGCAAATCTATCATGTTATAAGTTAGTAAAAGGGATGCGACTAGAATGAGGTATCAGGGGTGCTCCTGGAATGTTGGATTTTTCCTGGTCCTCCAGGAAATGAACACTAAGAATTTAATGAACAGGAATATTAAGGGAAATGCAAAAGCCGGGGGGGAGGGGGGGGGAGCTATAAGAACCATCTTAACAAATGTGACCCAGACTAAAGGACAGTGAGAAATTTTGGGGGAATGATTATTTAGCCTTTTAAGTTATGAAATATTAAGCAAAACTGCCGGGGTCCAACCCCAGCGGGTCCAGGGGTCCCCAAAGGTGTGGACGGAGTTGGCGAAGAAGGAATGACACGGAGACAGCGTTCAGTTGATCAGCAGCCTAGCCAGGATCTCTAGCCAAGTTCTGGTCAGGATCTCCAGTGAAGTTCTGGTTAGGTTCTCCAGCCAGGTTCTGTGTCCATGTTGTCTTGCTAGGTTCTCCAGCCAGGTTCTCCAGGTTCTCCAGCCAGGTTCTGTAGCCAAGTTCCCTCGCTAGGTTCTCCAGCCAGGTTCTGTCCAGGTTCTCCAGCCAGGTTCAGTTACCAGGTTCTAGTCAGGTTCTCTTGCCAATTTCTGTAGTCAGGTTCAGTCCAGGATCTTTTGCCATGTTCTCTCGCTAGGTTCTGAGGCCAGTTTCTGTCCAGGAACTTTTGCCATGTTCTCTCCAGCGAAGTTCTTCTGTCTCTAGAGAACGTTCTGTGTAGGTTCTGTGCCTAGGTTCTGTCTCTCTTGGTTCTGTCTTCTTACATCTGTATTTATACCAGTTGATTCCAATCCTATCAATCTCTATTTCAAAGGTTAGGGCGTTTCTTATCTCCATTCCAGGGAGTAAAGATTATGTAGCTTAAGCATGATTGTTCATAGTTAAAGTGATTAATTACCCGCCTGGCACTTGTTAAGAGGTTTTATTCCCTCCCTAACTTCAGGGGGAAATCCCTACCTGGGGAAACAACCTTTCTCAGAGACCTTGGTTAAAACACATAGTGCCAAGAAGGTGAGCAAACATATTAAGAACAGTATGCCATATATGCCAGGTCCCTTGAAACAGCAAGCATGGACCGGCTCCCGGCACAAAACCATCAGAGGGTTTTTGGAGAAAAATCCATTGAG